TCAGAACCAGGAGGAGGAAGGTTCTACGACGTGTAGAATGAATGGATTGTGATTTAAAGCTCAGATTTTGAGTTTAATTCTAGTTTATTTAAACTTTATTCTGTCTCTCATGATTTCATTCATATCTGAACCTTGTTCATTTTCTATTTGTATCATTTATTGTTGTTGTTGTTTACACTCAGAAAATGACAACATCCCCAGTTCAACAAAACTTTATTGATGCATCACAAATGAACAGCTGCAGCTTCTTAACTCAAAGAACATTTCGTCATCTGAGAAGAACCTGAAACATCTGCTGTGTTCTGCTGCGCTTACCTTCCTGTAGGAGAACTCCCAACCAATCCGGCGTCTGCAGCCTGATGACATCACTGTTTGAGGCATCACATGACCTGAAGACGTCCCGGGCAGGATGTTTTATTCAAAGCTTCAGCTCTCAGTCTGCTGACAGTTTCTCCTTCACCTCACTGAGCAACAAATAGTTAATAAGAGAAATATTCCACAGATCATTGATCATCAGGAAACAAAAGCAGGAGGAGAAGAGAAATTCAGAAATTTGAAATAAATGCATCAGAGTCATGAGGGAAAAGTCAACATGTTTCAAAATGGGAGGAATTTTGAAATAAAGAAAATTAGCAGACAGAAATTAAAGTTCTAATTCAGTCAATAAAACCTTTGCAAAAGATAAAACATGAATTTTAATTGAAATTTTGAGGTAAATAAATCGAAATCAACTATTTATATACAAATATGGGATTTTAAAACAAGTCTAAGTTACAAGAAAAGTATAAAAACTACAAGAAAAAAATGTTTGTGAAGTTTATTTTTGATTTGTTTGACTTTTGATCACGATGGATTATTTCTTTGGGCAGCAGCTTCTAAACGTTTGTGTGCTGCTGCCGACTTACCTGCAGGAGGTCTGACACCTGAAACACCTGAAACACTGACGCCGTCCAACCATCCATCATCTCTACACCTTCATCCTCACCAGGGTCATGGGGGGNCCCCCCATCTGATGCTCTCCACATGATGAACCTCCGAGCTAACGGCTAACCTGTAGCTTAGCCTCACACCTCCCCTGTTTAATGAAGCCACACGCGCTAAGATCATATGGAACCAGCCCGAGCTCCTACTGGAGCTCTTTCCGGAACCGGGCCGCTCAGCAGGATGAATAATTCAGGGAGCAGCAGCGGCTCCTCCCGGAGCTCCGGCTGCGGCTCAGCCTTCATCTCGGCTTATTGCTCAGTTAGCAGCGCCCGCTATCGGCTCAGCTAACAGCCCGCTGGGAGCAGTTTTCATTAAATTCAGACACTGATTTAAACCTGCTTCAACTCTGCAGCTAGCTTAGCTTAGCTTAGCTTTAGTCTAGCTTCGCCTTCCCTGCTAACGGGGCCTGAGGTTAGCTTAGCAGGTTAGCTTAGCAAGTTAGCTAGCCGCCGCTCGATAAAATAAAACGTCTAAAGTCTCCAGCAGCAGGAATAACAGCCCCTCCGGTACCGGCGGCTGTGAACGGTTCATGTAATGGCACCGCGGCCTCAGTCTCACCTTCTCCTTCTTGGTTTTGTTCGGCATCTTGCAGCGTTTTTCCACGGAGGCTCCGTGAAGCTCTTCCCCGGGACTCAGACGCTGTCACTCGGTCTGTCTCAGCTCCCTGCGCCCGTTCCGGAAACGGCTCGTGTGATTGGCTGCCGGCGGGCAGATCTGCCTAGCGACGCGCGGTGGAATTTTAGTGATTGGCTGCGGCGTGGTTTCTTGGTGAGGGTGAGGCTGCAGGGAGGTGAGGCAGGACTGGATCTTCCCCAGCAACAAAACACCTTAAACCCGGGGATGCCGAGCCGAGCCCGACCGGACCGAACCGGGGAGGCAGCCAGAGAGCTACTGCTGCAGGAGGAGAACCAGAAACTCCCCGGTACCCCTTAAAGTTCAGAGTTATCAGCTGGATTAAGCGTTTGTTCTGAAGCCTCAGTGAGGATCAGACTGAAAAACAGCATCAGTTTCAAAGTCAGAAAGTTAAATCTCAAAAACTAATAAAGATCCGAGCTTCAGTCTGAGAATCTGAGCGGGTTTTTCAGGGACAAAGCTTTAACTTGACTCTGTTCACCTGCAGCTGCGATTCCGCAAACTCACCTGTGCAGGTTTCGCTGCTTCATGTTTCTCCACTTTCACAGCTTTGACTTCCTCCACCTGCAGCACAACCCAATGGACAGCCTCATAATAAAAAGCT